ACCTGGGACACCATTCATATATTATAACTAGTTGTTTTTGTGGATAAATTTCAACTTGTGAATTTTGCTTGTTGATATTGAAATATTTTAACATTAAAAAAAAATTTTTAATCTATTTGTGAATTGATAATTCAGTTGATTTTTAGCATTTTGTAGTTCATTTTATATAATTCCTAAATCTTGTAAAAATTCTATTTTATTAAAATTTATCAAATTCCTATAAAATGGCTGAGCATATCTTCAGTGTTTTTTTTTTCTTTTTTTTTTAACTGCATCATGTTGCTTGCTATCTAGTGGAATAAAATAGACTATAGCTGTTTTACCCCAGAAATACAAGTTACTTGAATATAAATCAGTTTACAGGTATTAGTTTTAAGTTTGCATTAATATTTGAACATCATTTGAATGTTGAGTCAAGAATAAAAAAAAATTAGTTTATTACACAGGACTTTTTCATTGGTATTTAGTGTTGTATTTAAAGAAAAAAAAATGTTGATGTCTGCATGTGATGAGGTCAAAAATTAAAAAAAAAATGTTTGATTGCTCTTTTTTAAAAATTTTTTATTTTTGACTTTATTTCCAAAATGGTATAATTTTGATCTTAATTTTTGTTATTAAATTTTTTTTTTTTTTTTTTTCAAGAATGTTTATACTGGAAATACTGTTTGTGTATGCTAAAATTATAGAATGAAATGTTTGGGGTTTAGTTTTCTGTATACATGAGATATCTTTTTGATAATTTTTTTCTCTAGAATTTAACATCTGTCTTTTAAAAATAATTAGATTTAAAAAGAAAAAATATTTCCTGTTAAATTCAAGTAAATATTTTTATCATATACAAAACTTAAATTCTGTGCCATGCTTTTCAAAATTTGTACATTTTTTAGCTTTTAAATTAAAAGTTGGATCCTTTATAAGTTGTTTGCACTTGAACTCTTAAGTTCTGCCTAATTATGAATTTGGCCTTTTTAATTTCTTGTTTACTTGGTCATCCTCAAATATTTGTATTGTCAGAGAAAATATTTCATCAGAAATGTTTTATTCTGGAGAGTTAAATTGCAATATTCATTGTGTATAAATGAAGTGTATAAATGATTTAAATCCTTTTCAGGAGATAGCTCTGGTGTTTGGTTGTTCTGATTTTGAACATGTTAGTGCCACTTAAATTGTGGTAACACATAGATGTTCATGAAATTGATATTTTGTGAAATATTTTCTCCAAAAATGTACATTTAGGAATTTTGGTATATCTGCTATTTTAGCATCCTAAATAGAGAAGTATTTATCATTTGGAAAGGAAAAGATTTAAGTGTTGTTTCTGTAAATAAATTCAGTAGCTACATAGACACCATAACTTTGAAGAATTTGCTTTCTGAATATATTTTTTAGTACATTTTGTTCATAAATTTTATATATTCCAATTACTACATAAAATAATTTAAAATTATACACAGTAAATATTATCTAGATTACATAGTAAGATGAATAATTAGAATTTTATCAGTTCATTTAAAATTGTCATAATTAAGGATGAAATAGATTTTGTCAGCCTTAGAGGAAAATACAAAGATATTTGGTAGACAAACTTTCATTGTAACTCATCAAAGTTTCTTTGCTGTCTATCTTAAAATTTTGTAAAATGGGTCTTCTGTTCACAATACAAGTGCATTGTATGAAGTGTATGATTATTATTATATGCTGGAAAATAAGGCAATCCCTCATACAAATATTAAAGTTATCACATTTGATATAATTTATCTCAAGGCTTTTCTCTCTTTTTGTTTTTCTATTTAAAATATTTGCCAATATATATGTACATTGATTTTTATGTTCATCCTGTCAAATAAGAAGTGAATTTAAATAATAATTTGTCTTGCTGTATTTAGTTTTAATATTAATTCCAATTTACAACTTTATTAATTTTTTTTGTTTAATTATGTAATTTAAATTTCTTCCAGAACATTTACAAGATCTCTTAACTCTTTCAAAACATTGTTTAAAGAAAGAAGAAAATTCCATGAATTCTTTAATTCTTTAAAAAGTGCATCAGCAATTTTTTTTTTTTTTTTTTTTTTTTTTTTTTTAATTGAAATAAAATATTCAATAACCTTTTTAATCTTTGAACATTTATCCTCTTCATAAGAGCATACTTTATGAAATATTAAATGCAGGAAAGCTATTATGTTTTCTTCAAACTTTGTCTACTTTCTTTTTTTTCTTCAGAATAAGAAAAACTAGTTTTAATGGAAATATGTCATTGGGAAACTTCAGTTAAAATTGAAATTATTAATATTTTAGTAAAGGTAAAATGTTTACTTTCATCAGCTGGGGAAAAAGTCTGAATTATATTACAAATATTTACCTCATTTTTTTTTTTTTTTTTTATTGCAATTATTTAAAGTGATTTTTTTTTTTTTTTTTTTTTTTTTTTTTCAATCTTAAATAGTTTTGAAATTTTGTAACACTTGAAAAATTTGTGAGTTGACTTCTATTTGTTTTTTAAATACTTTATTAAAACTGCCACTAACATTTTGTTTGAGACAGATTTAAAGTATATAATCATTTAAGAATTTGTCTGTTGCATTTATCAAATTTGCAATTGATTAAATTTATGGTTTTCTAACTTGTTTTTTAAAACTAAATTTCTCTAATCATTATTGAAGCCAGGTTGGCTTTTGTTAAAAATAATTTTCTATTAGCATACTAATGTTAATAATGTTTCTTTGCCTGTGAATTGCGAAAGATGGTGAAGTTGTTTCCTATTTACTCCATTATTTTGAATTTGGAGTAGTCCTTCTCTTGGACTGTCTGCTACCCACAACTAGAGATCCCATTCTACATAGCTATTTAACCCATATTTGGAGAGAAGAGATGGATTCATGCCTTTTCACTAGAGAATTAGTATAAAGTGAATGCAACAGACTAGGCTGGAACTTGAACTTGGCTTGTCAGTTCCACTTTTGTGCACAAAGAACAACAAAGGGAAAAAAAAAAGAAATAAACAATTGTTTGACTGCTTGAATATATGTGCCACAATTTGGGAGAACAAATGACCCATACTTTCTTTCCAAAGTTGTGAAAGGAGAGTTATTGTTACAAGGCTCTTTATTTGATTAACTCATTGTAACATGTATAATCATTATTTTTAAATACTGGATGCTATTTTCTTCTACATATTGTTTTGAAATCTAATTAAACCTAAATGACCAGTTTCTCCAAGAAGTCCCTATTATCTTCTGCTATTAGATGATAATATTCTCATCTATATTGTTGAAGAAATGTTTTACTTGACTTAAACACTTGCCCAAATATTGGTAGCAAAAGACTGAGTATACTGTGCTAAAGCAAAAGCTTATTTTACTCATGAACATCTGACACACTTTACCTAGCTTTCTGTCTCACTTTCATATACTGCTGGCTTTACTAATGCTGCTATCACCACTACTCTTCCTCTCTCAAAGTTGATGTCTGCCTGCTTAACTGTATTTCTCTTGCACACAACTGTTCACTGTTAATGCTGAGTCTCTTATCATGCATGCTTCAACCCCTACATATTCTATTTACACTTAATATTGCTGCTGAATCTTTGCATTTTATTGTCACCCTTGATTATATACTGATTAAACAATTGTTTTAATTTTAGTAGCATTTATTTATAAATTTAATTGCTCAATTAAACTGATTCTCAACTTGTAAATTTATAGATTTTTTTTTTCTTGCAAGACTTGCAATAAAAAAAATCAATAATAACTATAAAATCATGGAATCTTAACTTGAGCTGAATTTGTTAAATTTCATTTATTGCTAATATATTCTTTAATTTTACCTAAGAAAGTAAATCTAATTTCTAAAATATGATTCATAATGATACCATTTAAACAACAAAACTTAATCATTTTTCATTAAGAATGATCTTTTGTATCATAAATTATGGAATGTATCTTGTCAAAAAATAGCTGGAACTACTTTGTTGCTGTTAATGTGAAAATTTATATTAATAGCATTTGTATAAAATTAAAGATCTTTGAAGCTTACAAATATTCTGACATATATAGTTTTTATGTGGTTGTGTGCATTTGAGGTTGCAGTTCTTGGATTTATTTTTTTCCAGATGCATGAAAATTTTTCAGTTAAAATTCAAAACTAATATTTGCATTAAGTCAGAAGTTAAACCAAACTGTATCTGTCTATATTTCTGTGCCATGTGTCCTCAAGGACATATGGCACAGTGGATAAAGGCGTTGGTTAGATCCAGTGACAGGACCCAAAGAGTGTGAGTTCAATACCTGGTTAAGGCGGTGGAGAACTTGGAGAGGGGAATTAACCAGAAATAACTGATAACTGACATCCATTAGACATGGCACCTGGAACTAGAACAGTTTTTTTTTATCATTTTCAAACTTATTGTGCACAGACTTGTCTTCCTACACATATCAAAATAGTCCCATCTGTTATAGAGTAATGTCTCTTCTTTAATAAATAGTTGGTTTCATATCTCTGTGCCTATACAACTTGAGATGCATGCAAAAAAAAAAAAAATAGGGTATGCTGCATTCGTTATGTACAAAACAGTTGGTCTGATGTATTGAAATTTGTATTACTGACCAAGTGAATGAATATTGCCAGCTGGACCCCAGTGAGCGAAATAAAGGGTTCAGTTCGACATTCCAACCACCTGAAGAAGGCCAGAGCATACAACGGCTCAAAAAGATAATAAATATGGTGACAAAGATGAGGACAATAGTCCGAATAATGTAAATAGTTAAACCAAACTATTTATAAAAATCTTCAATTTCAGAAAAAGAGAATGTCAATGTTGTACATGTTTGTTTAAGGACCTTCTATTTAAAAAGGTTTTGTCAGCTGGAAGAACTATACCTTAATGTAAACTCATTCAACACTTCATAATTATTGTCTTTTTTTATTTACTGCAGGTTGTGTTGTTGATCTCGTTCTTCTGCGCTGATTCTCAGGTGAAACTGGTCACTGGTAGGTGACTGATGGCATTTAGGAACCCACTGGACGGCATGGCTGGGATGGGACAGTAAGTATAATTTCATGTGCACCTTTGTTTTCATGTATTGACAAAAACAATGTTTGTCCTCCACCAAAGAGTACATAATAGAAGACCCGCTTTCACTCTTACTATATAAATAGCATCATCCACCTTTGTACAGTTAGTGAATGGTGCTCCATAAATAATTAACATAACCAAGCTGATGCAAATGATTTTCAACACTTGATTTAGATATTTTGAATATGTTCATTTTGAAGCAATATCTTAATCTGATCACTGTCAACCTCAATTACTCCATTAGCATAATGCTTAATAAACAACTTGTCATGATTAATCATTCACAATACTGTCTTTAAAAACTGGATTTTTGTACATTTGAGTAAGTATCCCAAACTGCTCTAGTTTACAGTATGGAAAAAGTGTGAAAATATTGGAATTTCCTTCCATTTCAATTGCTGATACCTTGTTTATTTTCAAGGTTATTTTGATAAAATTAGTATGTAAAAAAAAAAAAAAAAAAAGTTTATTTTCTCTTTATCAAGATACAATTCTTTCTCATAGTTTTTATTTAATCCACATCTCTTTAAACTCTGACACTATTTCAACAACACTTGCATGTTTTTTTGTCATTTTCAAACTTATTGTGCACAGACTTGTCTTCCTACACATATCAAAATAGTCCCATCTGTTATAGAGTAATGTCTCTTCTTTAATAAATGGTTGGTTTCATATCTCTGTGTCTATACAACTTGAGATGCATGCAAAAAAAAAAAAAAAGAGGGTATGCTGCATTCGTTATGTACAAAACAGTTGGTCTGATGTATTGAAATTTGTATTACTGACCAAGTGAATGAATATTGCCAGCTGGACCCCATTTTAAATCAAACTTGTTTCATTGTTTAATATTATAGTCTGAATTTTTTTCTTATATTTTATTTTATAAAGTATTGTCATGTTCTAATCATTTATGCCTTGGTTGTTTTTATGCATTTTCTTAAAAACAAACACAATTCATATTATAAAATAAAAAATATATAAACTGGATATATTCTTAGTACTTTCAATTTTGCACTCACCTTTGTTCATAAAAAATATTTAAAAGAAAAGTGTCCAGTTTTCCTTTTAATGGTCATTCATTTCATTTACATTTGTGCCTGGCAACATTTTCTTTTCAAAAATTAAAATTGGATATATTTTATTAAAAAAAAACAAATAAATAAATGAACTAGATGTGTTTAAAATTGCCTTTTAGTTCCAAAGGCAGGAATGATTGCCTTTGTTGGATGATATTGCACAACTGACATCAGCATTTGTTTATTGATGGGATTTTGATATAATACCACTTTCAAGAGATGACAGAATATGGAGTGTCCCATAAAAAAATCTAAATGTAACTATTTTTTTATTTTTTATTTTATTTTATTTTTTTATTTTTTTTTTTTGTTTCTTTAAGCTGTTGTCAGAACACTGCATAAGCATAACATTTTTTTTTATTTTTTTTTATTTATGTATTAGTGCTTTCCATGCCTGAGACCTCTAAATAGGTGGTTAATAAAATTTACACTTAATCTTTTGTTCAGTGAATAATGAACTCAGTGTCCTGAGAAGTAGTTTTCTCCTAAGTGGGAGAATTAAGCTGGAGAAAACCCCAAATTCCTTGCAATGTATTCATGTAAAATTTAAAAAAAAAAGTGTGGTGATGGGAATAGGCATTACAATCATATAACCTTTAATGGAATTTTGTCTCCACCACAAAAGAGACAAAGGAAGGAAGAAAGAAAGAAAAGGCACTCACTGAATCAGTATTTGTGATACAGAACCACTTCAAATGACCTTAAAAGCACAAGGCCAATGTTTTGCTGTATACTGTTACTCCAAATTTTGCATTGACCTTGATTCATGATATTACATCACAATTCAGTGCTGTAATCAAATGTTTAGTTCCAACCAAATGATTGATTTTATGGTATTTGTTGGATGATGGTGCATAAGTGGCATCTACATTTGTCTTTTAGATGGGATTTTGATATAATGTCATTTTCAAGAGATAAGATATGGAGTGTCCCAGGAATATTAGCTATAGCAGAGGATTATAAACAGATTCAGACTGCAAATTCCCATTAAAAGAAGAAATGCAGGAGAACCATTCCAATTGTCCAGAAAGTTTTTTTTTTTCATTAGTTTCAATAAATGTATTTTTATACATTTCAGTGTTTTTACATTGAATATTAATGAGTTTAAAGCCTTACAATAAGAATATGTTTGAAGGATTGACCAATGATTTATTTCATGAGACAATTTTATAAGTTTTGTAGTCATTACTGTTCCTTTTTAACAAGTTAAAAATTGCATAATTTCACAGTTTTTCCAAAATTATACATATGAGAAAAGGTATTCATGTTACAGAAAAAATAATTGTTTTTATTGAATTCCTCATCACTGAATCAAAGTTTCTGTTATGTACCTCCAATGGATATTTTTTATGTTCAGGATAGTATACTTTTGACTTGTCACGTGTGCTTTTGGCTGTTTTTACATGCTGTAAATACAAGTTATTGATGTACTACTGAAAAAAATCTTTAGTTTCATCTCTGTTGTTCTATGAATCATAGCAAAAAAGTTGCAAGGCATTAACTGTTAAAATGAACAGTCAAATTTGCCATTATGTGTCATGTCTTAAATATTTTATTTTTGAGAATGCAATTATTCTTAATGTTTAGGCTAAACTTATCTAATAATTATTGATTCTGCTAGTATTCCTTTTACTTCAAGACTATGGCATTACGTTTATAATTGTTATAGACAAGCATATGGTTGCAAGAAAGAAATAAGACAGCAGAAATAGATTCATGTGATTTATTTCAATAGGAACGTGTGGTTTTGGGACAGCTACCTTGTGGTATAGTTCATAAGCCAGCTGCCGATCTGGGTTGATCTCTCTCAGTAGTTGGCACTGGTTGGCGTGGTGCTCCTCCTGCTGACTGCCCAGAGTGACCGTAACAGATCTCTTCCCTGGTCTCCTGTTGACTGCTAGTACTTCCCCGTGTGACCCCTTTTATGGCTTAACAGGCTCGAAAAATGACGCGAGTATAATTAGGAGCGAAGCATTTTTATTGGTCGAAAAATAGAAACACTTTAAAATATTATTTTATTTTTCGACTGGAACTCCTGCGTCGGGCCTATGCACAAATGACGATAATGGTCATTTTGTGACTGGGCCTTGTCCCGTTCACATCTGGCTCTCATACTCAAGTATGTTAGTTTATTTGCCTGCAAATCTGCCGAGATATGTCTTATTTTATTTTATAACATAATGATTTTTAACTATTCTGAAGCCTGCATCTTGAAATTGGCACTTGAGACAGAAAACTGACAAACATTGAAGGGTCATGTATTATGTCTTGTCAAGTATTCTGTACCTATATTAAAGGTTTTTAAATATATTGAAAATAAAATTTTAGTTTGCAATACCTAATTTGATTGACAATTTTACCTTAAACTTGAAAAGCATTATATACTGAAAATTTTTTCTTTCATTTTTAATGTTAGAATAAAATATAAATAAACGAATCTTGACAATTTTAAGTGCACATTGATATGGCATTAGAAACTTTATGAATAAAATGTGATTTAATAACTTGTATTATTTAACTGTTAATACAGATCTAAATGACAAAGTGGGTTTACCAACTATTCTCAATAGTTTGGTTGTAAAGGAACTTCCTCTCAAAAAGTATCAAAGCACTTGCAACTCTCTTGTTTAGCCTGGTATATCCTGACATACCCATACTGAAAGAAAGTATTTTGATGTGTATCCATGCAAATTTTTTTCAATTTAAATTCTTGTACTTCAAATTTATTTTATCTCAGAGCAAGCTCTACTGCTATATAAGATTTAAATTTAGAATAGAGGAATATCTCGATTAGTGTGGCTAATGTGTACATCAGTAACTCTATAAAAAAATAAATTTCCAATTACTATGGTTAAACTGAAGAATGTTTTACCACACTAACCAAGTATTATGTATGCACTAATTGAATTTTGGTATATAAAAAATTTTAGCACACTAATCAAAAATGCATTAATCGAGGGATGCTTGTGCTTATGAAAGAGAGAGAGAGATGAATACATTTGGATTTTGTGTACATTTATAATATTAATATACTCTTTTGACCAGAAAAAAAATTCTTGGTCTCCTTTTTTTTCTTTCTTTTTTTTTTTTTCTTCTTGTATATAAAGGGGTACTGAAAAGTTCATCTGATACACTTTATAAACTTGAACGAATGTTTGGAGGACTTCTTGGTTGAGCCCAAAATTTTTCTTAAATTCTTTAATCTCTTTGTTCTAAGTAGTAATTCATTTTCTCATTTACACTCAGTTTTGTAGGATTCTTTTCCACTGAAATGGTCAAGATGAAAACATGAGGTGGGGGAAAATTCTGAAGACCAGGTACACCTGAGAAAGGCCAAAGAGTATTATGATGTATTTATTAGAATATGTTAAAAACTATAAGTATGAAGAAAATAATAAATATACATATATTTTTTGTTACATATATAAAATTTCTGGTGATGGAAGTAATTTTGACAGCTATGAAACTTTGTTAGTAGCTCATATTTTGACAAGCATTTTTTTTTTTTTTTTTTTTTTTTTTTTTTTTTTCAAAAATTTTGATTGAAAGCCAACGACTTAGAAAAAAATAGCTTAAATGACAATTATTTTTGTTTTCATGTAATTTCATAAATAGGAGAGAAAGTGTTAGATATATTGAATCAAATATCTATTAATCAACTGAATAGTTTTTCTTACTATGGAATAAAATTTGAACCATTTAAGTAACAAATATCTTACTTATTAACCCTTAACCATTTTCAAATTCTTCAGCATGAGCAGTGTTTGCATTTATTGTTTTGAACAGAAACATGAATTTTACTGCACTATCTTTACTTAGACAGTTCCTCAGTTTGGAATATACCAGTTCATAGGATGAGAAAACTTGTTCAATACCAGAAGACTAGGCCATTGC